GTCAGTGGTGCTCAGGAGACACCAAGCCCTCTGGGGAAGAACCTACCACTCCCCCATCCCCCATGCTTCCCTCTGCCTTTGCTCTTCGCATCCAGGATAGGCCTCACCTTGGCATTTCCACCAGGCCTCCTGTTAAGCACAGTGACCTCCAGGAACCCTCCCCGATTCTACATTGCATCCTAACCCATACTGTACCAAGGAATGATGCCTAGTGTCCCAGGACCTTGCTGTCTCCCAGCTTCCAGAGTCAGCGGGACTCGAGTTCCCACATTTCTAACGAGGCCGGCCTAATTGAAACTGGCACTCATGCCCAGGGAAAAATCCCCGGTAGGAATTGAGGACAGCCCAGGAATGGGAGTGGGGACCTGAAGGAGCTGCTCTTGGGGGTCCCCAGTCCTATGAGCTTTACCTTCTAAACATCCCTCAGAAGCACAGCTTCCCCTCCAGGTCACCTTTTGCTGAGCATCATCACCGTTCAGCTGGGCCCCTGGGATGACCTCCCCCTGGGTCTCCCTCTATTGTACCTCCCAGAAGAAATCCATACTGCAGCAAAAAGATGGTTATAAAAAAGAATAGTTATGACACACTCCCCTGCTAAAGCTCCCTCGTAGTTTTCCATTGCATTTAAGAAAACAGATCAAAACCTGATTCTGGACCAGACAGACCCACATGGCAGGATCCTGCTGCCCTTGCAGCTGCACCTACCCAGCCTGGGTCCTGGCCTTCTCTCCACACAGCCAGCCAGCCGTGGGCCTCTAGAGTGCTCTGTCCCCTGCCTTCTGACGCCCCTCTTCCTCCACCCAGTTAACTCCTCCTTGTTTAGCTCTTGATTCAAATGCCCCGATGCTCTTTCCTTGGGGGAAACCTTTCCCATCAGGACCCCATTAGTTTTGCATTTGCTTCTAAAACATTTGCCCGTCTGATCCTGTGGCAGTTGCCAGCCTCGTCGTCCTGCATGGATGCCCCACAGAGGCCAGGACGGGGGCTATTTTGTTCACTTAGTGCTGGGCTTATCTGGAAGCAGGTGTTGCCCAATACTGTTTTTTATTTTTATTTTTTTGCAGGAGGGGAGAAGTACTAGGGATTGAACTCGAGGGCACTCAGCCACTGAGCCACAACTCCAGCCCTATTTTGTATTTTATTCAGAGACAGGGTCTCCCTGAGTTGCTTAGGGCCTCGCTAAATTGCTGAGACTGGCTTTGAACTCGTGATCCTCCTGCCTCAGCCTCCAGAGCCTCTGGGATTGCAGGTGTGTGCCACCATGATCAGCCCAACACTGGCTTTTAAATGAAAAGAGAAGTGATAATCTTGGGAGAAGAGGCCCAGTCGGCACAGCCCCCAAGGAGCCCTGGGTTCTCTGGGGCTGGTGTGGGGGAAATGGGAACAGTGTGAGTGAGGCAGCCGAGAAGGGGAAGGTGGGATGGCAGTCTCAAAGGCCTGGCCAGGGAGGGCATGCTGGACAGCCTTCAGGCCCTAGGAGGCTGGGGAGGAGAAACCTGCAGAGTTCTTGCTTCTCTGGAGGCAGACTTGTCTGCTCCACTGGGTGGGGAGCAGGGCGCCCTAGGGTCATATCACAGTTCACTGCCAACTTGCTGTGGACCTGGGGCAATATCTATCTCTTCTCTGGGTGCTGTTTTCCCTGCTTTAAAATAAGAGAGATGCTGGTTCAATGCAGGCTGTCTTCCTGGACCGTATCTTTGGTTGCTCCCTGTCTTTCTCTGGCTACTCTGTTTTACCATTGCCATGTGCCCCCAGCTCTGGCACCCCAGCCCCTTCCCCTCCACCTGATCCTGTTTCCCATGGCACTGACTCCCTGTTCACATGCCATTTAATTGGCTCATATATTATACTCATTTTTCCTTGATAGAACGTAAGGTCTGTGATTGGCAGGGACCCTTCTTTCTTCACGGAAGAACCCCCCCACCCCCACGTGAGAAGTGCTTGGCAAACATTTGTTAAATGAAGAAGTGCTGTTCTCAATCTACTGTGGCTTGTTGAGATAAGTAAGGAACCTCACTTCACAGAACTTGGATTTCGGATTCAGGCAACCTGGCTTTGAATCTTGGTCTGACACCAGTTGTGTGATTGTTGGGGACACCTGCAGCCTTGGAGGCTTAGTTGCCTATGGGAAAATGGAGTCATCTTAGCTACTTAATGTCTACTGTGATGGTGAAATGACTTTGAGTATTTCAAGTGCCGAGCACAGGGCTTGCTCCACAGGAAAGTCGGTACAAGTGAGGGGATCATGGTCCAGGGAAGGAGGGTGCCCGACTGCGAGCATCAAAAGTCATCTGGGATTACTTGAGCAGAAAAGGAATCTTCTGGAAGGATCTCAGGAAGCTCATAAAATTGGTGGGGAAATTTGGAGAAAAGGCTCCGAAGACTCTCAGGAACCAGAGGAGGCCAGGTAGGAGGACTCGTCAGCCAGTATTCTGCAGTCACTGCTGGGATGGTTGTCACCATTAGAGGCAGACCCCCTTATCCTGCCATAAATACTTGTCACAGAGGACACTAACAGATGGCCTCTTGACACAGGGGGAAGCCAGTCTCAGAGGCTTTTTGCTTTGTATTCCTTGCTCCAAGTTCAAAGTCCCAAATCCCTCTATGGGTATGTGGCTGGCAAAGCCCAAGTTATGTGCCATGTCCTGACTACCAGTGGGAGGAAAGAGTGTCTTCCCTGTGGCCCTCATGGTGGAAGGGAGAGTCCTCGTCCACTGGGAAACTCTCTAGAGCAAGACAAGAATCTAGATGCTATGAAGCCATTAAACAATAAATGGCCTCTTTGGGAGCCAGACCCAGATAGGACTAGTAATGGGTAAGAAAAGTGGGGGTTATAATGGGGCTACCAAGTGCCTGGGTGGTCCTGATAGCAGGCCAGCTTTTGGCATCCCTGGGAAGAGTTTGAGGGACTACTTTCAAAGGTGTGGACAGGACAGAGGGAAACCTCAAGGGCCAGCACAGTTGCCAGGTCTAGCAGCAGCTGAGGTGCCATGACGTCCCCAGGCCTGAAGGAGTAAGGGTTGGGCACAGTGGTCTGACACCCAGAGAGAGACAGAAAGAGGGGTCTGAGGACAGTCAATTGGCTGTGAGCCCTTACGGGGAAAGCCGCCAGCCCACAGAGATGCTAGAGATGGAGGTGGAAAATAAGGACCTAGAGTCTCCCCCCACCCAGTCTCCTCCCTCCAATGTCTTGCTGGTGCCTCCTACATTTTACCCAACTAGAAGTTGAAGGGCCAATAATATAATTTGTATCAGTGGCTTTGAAGGGAGAGAGCAGGGACAAGGGGGGAAAGCAGGTGGTGGAGGCGCAGAGGACAGCCTGAACAAGTTGGAAATGAACTCTTAGTGGAGACTCCTGACTGCTTCATGGGGTGGCATCGGGCCTGGACCTTGAGGGCGGAGTTGAATTTCAAGAGACTTTTTAGAATTGGAGGCAGTTTCCTGAAAGAGCCTCAGAGTCAGACACTAAAGGAGTGTTAAGCAATGGTGAGCTTTGCATGCTGGGACCTCACACGCGTGTGCCTGCCTGGTCCCCATTTGGGGCATCTACCACCTTCCTGAGGCCACAGTTAAGGAATCCTGCTTGACGTGGCTTCTTTGCCAATCAGAATTGATTCTTGCGTGGCTTCTGGGGATTGCCTTAGCAGCACAGATATGTCCACGGTTCTGGAGATGGGGTAGGATTTGGGCTTCGATACTCCCAAGTCAGCAGCCCCTGGAGAGTTAAGCCTCCCTCTTGGGGCCTGTGCAAGGGAGCCCGTGTGTTTGGGTTTGTGCATTCAGAAGAGCGTTGCTATGGCTGAGTCGCAGGCAACAGGTCTTGTGATCTGGAACAGCAAATTGTGTATATAACATGACGGCATTTATTAAAGCAAGATAAACTCAGCGGCGGAGGATCTGGCTGGAGCTATAAATTCCTCTGATCTCCACTTCTGAGACATCACATTCCATTTGAATGAGGCCTATCAGCCCAAATGCTTTCATGAAATAAGTCAATTTGCTGAAAACCTCTAAGAAACTGAACTGCAACTTCCTCCTCCTTTGTTTTAAAATCGCTGTGCAGCGTGGCTGTAACTCACACGACACCGCTCGATGTCAATGACCCACGGGGCTGTCATGGGCTCTGCGTGCCCTTCACTAGCATTGTCCAGGCCCAGGTTGGACACCCTCGGCTCTTCCTCTTAGGGGGCTTAGGTGAAGAAGGGAAGGAGACAGACATTCTTTCTAGATCCAGGAATTCAGAGATGTAAATGCCAAATGAAGGAGCCAAACAAAATGCCCCCTCACTTCAACTTGAGACTTACCCCTTGGCACGCGATGGCCCACAGTGAGAGGGATTTTCACAAGAGGCCTGGAGGAGAGCAAGGGCATGGAGCCCAGAAGGCCTGGGTTTAAATCCCGGCTCCATTATGAACTGGGCAAACAGCTACAGCCTAGGCATTGTATCTCTCTATCCTTAGCCCATCCCATATAAAGTGACAATCAAGATTGCCAACACTTACTAGCACTTAATATACATCAAGCACCATGCTGAGAGCCTCCTATGGATGACATAATGTATCCCTCACAGAAATCCTATGAAATAAGAAGCAGGAGTATCTGAACTTTACGGAAGAGGAAAGTGAGGCTGAGAGAGGTTAGGGACCCTGGGAACCATGGGGTTGAGGCAGTCGGGGACTTTAACCCTTGTGTAAGAACAATTCTAAGTGCATGGACTTCTTAGAATTCCTAGGTTGCATTAGGAAGTGGGTGGAAGAGCATTTTTTAAATCATAAACTACTAGTCGTGGAAATGCTGATACTGAAAATCTTCGGTCGTTATTTTTCCCAACTTGTCCAAGAGCTTTCCTCCCTCTCATCCACGGGTTTGCTTTTTCTCTTCCCTCCCACTTAACCACCACCTCTGTACCTATCCTTTCCAACATTCCTCCCTTGGTTCAAAAACAACAACTTTGTGGAATTCAGATTCAAGGAGAAAAAAAAGCAAAGTCACAGCCCAACTCAAAAGTACTTGTGCTTTTATTAAAAAAAAATACAACCAGGATACTGTCCGGATGTGTTTGGAAAAGGGGGAATCTCTTTATAAATCCTTAGTTTTCATCATCACCATTATTATTATATTAATAATATTAATCCTCTCCTTGAAATGGGAAACAGTATTGCTTTTCTGGTTTCGGCTGGATGAAATGTAAAAAGGAAAATAAAGGGGGGTGTGGGGGGGACAATTTCCAATGACACACATTTTCTCTTTCCTAACAAAAATAATGATAATTAATTATACAGCTTTGTGTAAAATATGACTGGTTCTAAAACAAACTACCACTGTACAGCCTACCCCACTCCCGTTCCCAGAGCCCCCCAAGAGAAGTAAAACCAGGGTGTTGTTGCCACTGGAAGATTTTCGCTGAATTGAACCACAAAGCGGAGACCTGTTGCAGACTGTCGTCTTTGGTGCGGAGGAAGTCATCGCAGAGTGGGGAAGGCCAGTTTCTCTGTGATCTGTGGTCAGGGTCAGCTTGACTCTTGCCAGATGCCCAGGCGTGCTTGATGGTTGGATGGTTGTTTTGGTGCTTTGGTAAAATCCTTTCCTTTCTCTGGGCCCTACTCCTCTCTCACCCAGTTGTCCTTGGAATTCAAGCCCGTTTGCGCCTGCCTTCGAGGTTTCGGAAGTTGCTGGGTCTCAGCTTCATCTCAGCAAACTGGATTGAATATTCGTGGCCTTTCCAGTGGAACCAGTTAACACCCTGTGAAAAAAGAGAAGGACCCCAGGTCGGTCTCCATTGACACGTTCTTGCTGTTTAGTTGTTCAGACAAAAAGAGTTGCTTTGACTCAACCGTTTGGCACCTCACAGCTGACTCTTGTGTATCTCTCTGTTGGTCTGTGTTGTGCAACCTTTAAAGGGACTGGCCAAATGGGACCCAATTCTTCACTCAACCTGGGTTTGCATTGAGTCCGCCATTTTGGAAAAAAGAAAGTCTAGCAAATGATACTTGGCCATTCTTAGGGTAGGTTCTGCAGGAATTCAGGTAATGACTGGAGGTTACGGAAGTGAGAGGCTGGGTGTAGGGAGTGAGTGTGTGTGTGTGTGTGTGAGAGAGAGTGTGTGTGTGTGTGTGTGTGTGTGACTGATAGGAATCTTGTGAAGAATTTTAAAAGAGGTTTGGTGTGGAATAGCAGCAAGAGCATATGAGGAACACAAGATTTGCAACCCAACAGACAAGGTTAAATATTAGTTCTCTCACTTAAGAAATAATGGTCTTGAATAAGTTTGTCAAAACTTTCTGGACTTCAGTTTCACTACCTTTTTTTTTTCTTTCTATCTTAAGACCTAATGATATCAACCTTGGAAAACGAAGAGTTTGTACAGATGCTATCACATGGGTGAGCACTTTGTGGCGGCTCAGTGAATATAACTTCTTTAATCTCAAGGAAGGAGAAATATACTTGGAAATTTTGGCCAAAACTTTTTCTACAAGAAAAAACTACAATTGTGACTGGGCTTCCTGGTTCCACGAATGAATTTGCAGTGGGGATTCTTGATGGCCGTGTCTGCCCACCAAGTGCATGTGGCCCGTTGCCCCCACGTGTGGGAAGCTGAGTAACCTCAGCTTCAGCAGGACTCCTGGAGCCTCCACACCAGCTGACCTCTCTCCTCTATAAGCTGCACAGAGCTGTAGGGAACAGGTTCCTGGTCAAGTTAATGGCTGGTGAAATGAAGGAAAGAAATAGACACATTATTAGTTTCTAAATTTTTGGCCTTTACCCAGATGGGTGAGCTGAATCTGATAGGGAGCTGGGATTTAAGAACAGCTGGTTCATTTCACAGGCAAATGTGCAGGAATGGCTCAGGTACCCAGGGGCACTGCAGCCTGACAGCCTGGTCCATCGGCTGCCCTCCTCTGCCCTTGTTCTTTCCTCTGATAGAAGTTCAGGGCTGGAAGCCAGGTCCTCCTGGGGTTGTGGTGGAGACCGAACCCAGAGAGGGAAAGAAAGCTCACAGGGAAACACAGCAGCCAGAGCCGGGACTCAACTCTCTGTGACCTTTGTGTCCTCCTGTCATCTCTTCTAACCTTGCGGAATGGGATGGTAGAGGAAGTTTTCTTTTCTGACATGGAGCATTTTTTGTCTGTTTTGTTTTCAGGACTTTGTATCACCCTGGCATTAGGGGCCCTGGTGACAAAAAAGAGGAGAATGCTTAGAGCAAGTGGCACTGAAGCACCATAGGATGAGATGGAAAGAACCCAGTGTTAAGAGGTGTCCTTCGAACTCACCTTCCTCCTGACACAGGCATGAAAAAAATCTCATCCTGATTCCTTTGGAGAGTGTCAAGTAGAAAAGCCCATGAGATAGAGAAGGTGAGAGTGCTTAGAAAAGTGCCAGAAGTTATGTCAAGGTAAGATCTACACGTAAGGTCACAGGTGTCACTTGTGAGCAGTCAACTGAGGCCCAAAGACAGGCACCAAAATCACTGGTCATGGAGAGGAATAGCCCACAATCCCTGATGCATGTCAGGAACCAATCTCGGAGGCCACTTAAAAAATATCCCAAATCAAGAACTAAAGTACAAATAAGAAAAAGCTGGATGTAGCATCCCACCTGGGATCATCGACTCTGATCCCTGGGGTTGCGCTGTGTCATTTGGATAACTGCATTTCTGCAAAGTCCCTGGGATCCCAAGAGCAGACCTGGTGGGAATCCTGGTTGCCAGGGATCAGTGTGGACTATGAGACAAGAGCGCCCATCTCTCCTCCCTGGGGTGGGGCCAGCCTCGGAGAAGGGGCCAGGGCAGGGGCTGGTCTTGATAAAGAAGGGGGTGTCGCGAGGTGTTCCCTTTTCAGGTGCACACTGGTGTAGGCAGGGCCCCGGGGAAGGGAGATGCCTGAACTGGGTTTGCTCACCTGTTTCTAAAGGGGATCTCAAAAACCTGTGATTGCAGAAGTCGTGCTAGAGCTGTGTGTGGTGTAGGGGGAAAGCTAGGGGCTGGAAGTAGGGAGACTTGGATCATTTCCATTCCATGATTTTGGGAAAGTCACCTTTCTTGGTGCCTTGGTTCCTTCATAAAGTACAAGGACTCAAAGGCTGTGACTTCACCCCAAGATGTCCCTGAGGTTCTGAAGGTGACTCTGGGATGGGCTCTGCAGGATCTATGTCATCCTGCTTCACCTAGATGGTCTTCACTTTCACTGGCTTTACTTTTGGGGTTTAGACAGAGGTTGTGTCAGAGGAGAGCTTTCTAAGTTTGAGACTCGTCTGGCCAGTGGTTCTGCTTGGGATCTTCAGGGGCTAACGTGCAGGTTCTATTGAGCTGGCTGGCCATGTCACTGAGATCTCTTACTGTGTTGGGGACAAGCAGAAAGCATGTGGTCGTGTCTTTGAGGCTGTGACCCCTGGTCCCAGCCAGGATGGAGGGCCTGACCTGTGCTGTGTCCCTCCCGGGCCCTGACAGCTCTGCAGTCCACTCACCTGACTGTGGTTATTGTCCCCATATCTTCCCATCAGGTTGACACGGTGACAGTTCTTATACCAGAAAGCCCCTTTGTAGGACAGGGCGCAGTTGGTGATGGCAGAGTCTGTGTCCTTGTCAAAGGTGGAGAAGGATCTGCCGTTGTGATAGGCCATGGAGTCACCTGAGCGGGAGGAAAAATAGGCCCCTGAGGAATGCCGGCCGGCGTTTCCCTTCTGCTGTGAAGCGCAGACTCAGAGGTGACCCTCAGAAGGCCTGGTGTAGGGTGGCCTTAAACCTCGGCCCCAGGGAAGGTGGGAATGCACGGCCCCTGAGTGTTACCCCGGGGACCCACTTCTGATTGAAGAGACACAATATGGTAGAAAGAGGGCTGCAGGTGGTTTGGAGGGGTCCAGGCTGGAGTCCTCCTTCATCTCTCCCTGTGACCTTGCACAAATCAAGCCTTTTGCTGACCCTTGGCTTTCTCATGTATGAAATGGGACCAGCACACAGATTCCATCTACCTCATGGCACTGTCGTGACAGCGGATAGGGAGAGGCACCAACAGGGACAGCAGGTGCAAGAAGGTGCAAGGCTTGATGTTATTTTATGATTTTTCTGTATTCCCTTTACATAAGATAGCTCAGAGAGTATGCCGAGAAATCTGAACATAATAATAACGTGTTTTCCCCACATACAACCTTTATAGCCATGATTATAATTCATCCCTTTGGATATTAGATATTGTCAAATAGCCTCTGTATTAATCATGTAGTTATTTAAAAAATGTTTAATAGACCAGTAGCCCATTTTCATATGATTCTATTTCACTCAGGAGAGGGAAGGAAAATGTGTGCATCTCCTCCCTGGAAATACAAAGAGAAGACGGACAGAGGCCACACTCCTGCTTGGGGGATGTTCTTGCCATATAACAGTGTCCTTCTTGCCCGAAGCCACTTCAACCAGGGAGGTAGTTATTGCCAGAGAATACAATGTCAGAATTCTTTGAGGCATGCAAGAGATAAAACCATTTTCACCCCTGGGCATCTCTCCTCATTGCCACCCAACTGCCATCTCAAAAGAGCTTTGTGCCCCCGTAGATTGAAGCCTGGCTTTTGGCAACTCCTCGTTTGGAGACTCCCCTCTTTCCGGATGTTTTCTTTCGGGGCTCAGATGGGCTGGAAACGTGCCATAGCATCTGTGTCTTCTGTTTTCACAAACAGAAAAGAAGGCCACCCAAAGTGGGCACAGCTTGCACAGGGTGGTCTGCACTCTCACCCTGATCCCTTCTTGTCACCAAGAAGACCCTGGGCCACAGTCTCCTGCAGCCACCCCCATCCACCTTCCATAAATGGTCTCACCTGGGGCAAACCACTGGGCCTTTCTGAGCCTGTTTCCTCACCTTTACAGCATCTTCCTGAAAGGTTTTTGGGAGGATTAAATGGGGGTAATGCAGAAGGAATGTCTACCCAAGAAGATGCTATCGGGAGGCCTCGCTCGGTACTTGATGTTTCCTTATTTAGTTCTCCTCTAATGTGGAGCCAGGAAAATGCACAAAATTCATTTTAAGTCAAAGAAGACTTCAAAATGAGAACTAGGGTTATGAACAAGAGCAGGAACAAACAGGCCATTTGAGAGGTGGGGAGCATGCAGGCTGAGGCTGGATGGCATGTGACAGGGATGCCTTAGAAGAGATGTAAGCATTTAGGTGATGGGTGGACTGCTTGCTACTCAGTATAGCCCACAGACCAGAAGCACCAGCAACGTCGGCTTCTCTAGGGATCTTGTGAGAAGTGCAGACTCTCAGCCCCACCCAGACCTCCTGTTTCAGCATCAGACACATTGACATGATCCCTAGGGGCTCTGATGCCCAGAGTAGGAAAGCTCTGGATCAGATGAAAATTAAGGCCTCTGAGAGACTATTTTTTAAAAAATCAGAGTATAACTGACATCTAAAGATGGATAAGAAACATGTTTTGAATTGTTAGAAATCAATCCTGATTGTCCAATGCACAACTTACTCCATGTCTAAGCAACTAAAATATCTACCCAACCCTTTTCCAACTAGAGTTTTTCATCAGCTTCTAGTGGGTAATCAAGTATTTGCTAGTTCAATAAATGCATGCATTCACATAGGAAGGAGTGAGGGAAGAATGAGTAGAGGAACTAGTCAGAAGCACCATGAGGGTCTCTGTATACTCGTAGGCTCTAAGTGAGGTGGCCTTGTACCTGCTGTTCCACTGTACCCCTCCACCTTCAGCCTGTAGCGAGTCTTGGCGTCTCCCACGCTGAACTTGTCGTAGACGGCGAAGGCTGTCTCCCCATGGTCTTGCAGGTCCACCCGCAACTCGTACTGCCCTTGGGCTGTGATTTTGCTCAGGTTATCCAGCCCTGTGGATGATAGGTAAGGGTTATGAAGAAGCCCAAGTGACCCAGGCCATCATTTCTTATTCTTTCCTGTGGGAGCAGCAGCAGGGTGTACTTGAAAGCGGTGCATGTCACAAACCGCTCTGCTCCTTGCTGGTATGATGCCAGGTAAAACATGTTGTAAGCCTCAGGTAAAATCAGGTTGACATCTTTGCCCTCCAACCACCTAGCGTACTGTGAAGATTAAAAGTGATAAAGCAGTGACAGTGCCCTTAAAATTCTACAACTCCTTGCAAATGTAAGGCAACGGATGATACCAGGATGGACATCCGCAGGCTCAGGCAATGGTGCATAGAACGATGCTCTGTGCCGGCAGGTTGGTGGCTAGTGTGAATGGCATGGCTGGCTGGCGGAGGGATAGATGGATGGAGGATGGAGGGATGGAGGGATGAAGGGATGGCGTTGTGGGGCTGGCCTGGGAGACTTCACATTGCAGGTTGGCTAGATTATCATGGGCAAGCCCTCCAAGCTTTCTGAGGATCCGTTTTCCATGTGCAAGATGGAATTTAGCACTTGGCATGGGTGTTCTGAGGGTGAGATTACAGTTATGAGGAACCCATCTCAGTGACAGGAGTACAGGAGGGGAGTAGCTAATGATCCACTCAGTGACAGGTTTAGGCCTGGTGTTGGCTTTCCCACCATATGATGATGATGATGATGATTATTTTTAGTGACCCAGAGCATTTGAATAGTCTCTCCCATTGGGAATTTGATACTCCGAGTCCACTGCCAGAGCTCCTACCACCAGAGCCCCTCCCCCTCTAGTCTATCCCCTCCCCCTCTAGTCACTGCAGTTTAGGACAAAAGACATGGAGGGCAGAAATGGGCATTCTGAATACAAGCGTGCAGCACTACATTACCCAACCAGAATTCTTCTCTGCGGTCCCCGAATCCTTCAGCATAGGCCTTCCAGTTTCGATAGAAGTCCTCCCGTCCATTTTTGCGTCTCAGGAACACCTGCAAACAGAATCAACGGATCTGCATGCAGAAGGGAGGACCTCTCTCTGGGAGGGAGGAACAGCAGGCTGTGGAAAGGCAGCACCGGTCCCCTGCTCTGTCTCTGGCTAATCTGTCATGTGACTTTGGGCAGGTTGCCTCCCCTCTCTGAGCCTTCTGTTCTCACCTGAGAAAGAGGGACTGGAAATTCAGCCCTGCTTTGGTTGACAGTGACATATCAACGGAGCTTCTCCTGCTCCCACAGATGTACCACTCTGGTGTGGGATGTTGGTGACAGAGGAGATTGGGTAGGTGCAGGGGTTATAGGAAAACTCTCTGATATATTTTGCTGTGAACCTAAAACTTCTCTGAAAATGCAGTTTATTAATTAAAAACCAAACCAAAACAAAACAAAACAAAAACTACCCAGCTCAGATGGTAATGGGGCTGAAATAATTCCCGTCAGGCTCCGTCTAGTGCCTGGAAGATAGCAAGTGCTTGAGTGGTACTAAATAATGTAACTTCTAGGTCTGATGATCACTGTCACATGTTACAGAGTTGTCTGAGGTGGCTCAGATGAGCTCAGATGAGATAAATTATAAGAAAATCTTTTCCCATGTTATTTTTTATGCCCAGCCTCTTTCCATCAGTTTAAAGAGACAATACAAGAGTGCTCCATGTGACAGACACCATCTTGGCAAACCTCATGTGCCTGGATGTGAGGGTGCCCGGGGAGGAGGACATGGCACCCTCTTCATCTGCTGTGCCCCCAGCTCATGTCCCAGGACTCTGGAGCCACCGCGACACTCACGATCCATCCGCCCCCATCAGAGGTCATGTCGCAGAAGACTTCCAGTGCCTGGGCCTTGTCACCATTGAGATAAATGGTGTAGAGGCCGGAGGTGGTGTCTCCATTCAGCATGGCTTGGGAGCAGTCCCTGGGGAACGGGTACAGGAGTCCAACTGCGGAGTAAGGTAAAAGAGCGACTCTCAGAGCAGGATAAGGAGGAAGCAATAAAACCACGCTGTACCGTGGCTCTGTCATGTGCAGGATGGAGATAAAGTCTATTTTGCACGGGAGCTGGGAGGTGAGGGATTATGGATGTGAGGGGCCGCCTCCGTCCCTCATGCTGACAGAAACTGTCAATTATAAAAGCCAAGCTGCTACAAGGGACATATGTGAGGTTAACCCGGCCTATCTGGGGCATCCAGGAGCTGAGGAACACCCAGGTGCTGTCTGGGAAGGCACCTATGGTCCCCTGTGCGTGCGGTGTTCTGTTAGGGCACAGGAGGCTTAGAAATCTCATAAAAGCTTTGGAGCTTGGAGTTCCCCAGACAAATACAAGTCAGTGTGCAGTGTGGACATGTCTCTGCCGCTTCAGAGGATTTGAGACAAGGGCCTAGTCCTGAACCTGCCACTCAATTGATATATGATGCTAGAAACACCATTTAATGATTCAGAGTCTGGGAATCTTAGGTAAAAGAAGAATTCCTGGGAGGGTTTTCAAGTGTAATGATATGACACAAAGAATTCAAAACTGGATAGACATGGACCATCTTGGGGCTGTTCTTAGGGTCATAGCAATTCATTCTTCTGACTGGACCACCTCCTCACTGTGCTCTCCCTTCGCCCGAGGTGCAGCATGTGGTATTCCACAGCCTCGGCCTGAGAGCATCTTCCAGGTTCACTCATAGCTTTGTGTTCACAGAACCTGGCCTAAGATCTGGCAAAGAGGAGGCACCTTCCTCGGCAGAGTATGGCAGAATGACTAGGGAAGGGGGGTGGAAGGGCAGGAGGCAGCTCCAGAGGTCAGCTGTTCCCTTCGTCATAAATGGATGCCACGTCTCATTCACCGACAGAACCGGCTCTTCATCTACCATCTGTAGAAGATGCCCAGTGGGAGGTGTGGGGAGGGGCTCCCTGGCCCTGGAGAATCTGAGCCCACTCGGACGCTAATCCCAGGCTAGCCTAGAACAGGCCAGTTAGTCTCTGGGAGCCTCCATTTCCCCGTCAGATAATTGGGCACCATAATCCTGGCCCATGGAGCTTGATGGCTGGGAAGACCATTTGTGATTTTGAATGCACCTCACTGAGGTCTTGCTCAGACTCAACAGCACACAGAGCCGTGATAGAATCCAGGGGTGCTTACCTCCAGCTATCCTTTCCTTTCATCGGGATGCCTATGACCTCCTGCACCCACAGATTTCTAAGTAGAGGTAGATTTGTTTGAAAAATGCAAAGGAAGTGGAGGGTTGATTGAGCCTCACAAAGTCACATCCCAACTCCTGGTTGCTCCCTGATCCCCTTACTTGTGGTGAAGATGGTCTGGATGAGCTTGCTCCTCAGCGGCCCATTCAACGCCTGGATCCTGGCTGTGTAGTGGGTGGATGGGCTCAGGTCTGCCAGGCTGTAGGAGGTGGTGTCGGGGCCCACAATGACTTCCTAAGGGCAGGAGAAAAATACACAGCAGTTGCTCACAGATACTTTCAGGATGTAACAGATGCATTCATTCATTCTTGTGTATACTTTTATTCATTCAGCAATAACCCACTAAAGCCCATTCTATGCCAGGCTTCACGTACACAGCTGGAATATCAGAATGAGGGACAATGCAGCATAAGAAAAGGCCCTGGGGCCAAGAAAGGCAGAATAAGTTCTAGTGATAGGAGGAGGCAACTACTGAAACTGTAGTTGGTTTCCTGGGAGAACAATGGAAAAGGTGGGCAAAGATCAGACCATGAAGGACCTTAAATATCAAGTTATAGAATTTGTAGCTTAAGGAATGGAGAGGTCTGAAAGTTCTGGAATGACTGAATTACAGGAACCCAGTTGTGTTTTAAGAAGCTTAAGTTGGTCTATGGCTGGATGAATTACACAAGGGACAGGAGTTTTGAGACCAGTTAGGTCAGTGGTCCCTCATTGTGGCTCTATTACAGCCTTCTGAGAAGCTTTAAGACAGCCTGGTACCTGGATTCCATCCCAGACTACTTGTGTCAGAGAGAGAGAGAGAGAGAGAGAGAGAGAGAGAGAGAATTGGGGCCGGGCTAGGTACATAGTCAGGAAACTCCCCGGGAGGTCAGGCTGGGGATATCTTGGGTCAGGAGATGATTATAATGTTATAATGGCTCAGTGGTGGGGCATGTGCAGGCTGGACCTGACCCAGTATGTCTCTTCTAGAACAGAGGTATCCAGGAGAGACAGTGTGCAGTCCACTCTAACTACTGCTGTCTAGTGGAGGTGACTGGCTTCAGTTTGCAGAAGAGTTCTTGTGTTTCCAAGTCCTCTCGCTTGCTTCCAATTCCTTTTTAGTAGATGACTTTGGTGCCTGAGATTGAAATTCAGCCGACATCCCTTGTAAGCTGAGCACAACAACATTGCTCTCTACAACCTCTGTACATGGCTGGCTGAGTTGAGGCAGTAATGGGACTGGAACTGGAAAAGCTTGCTATCCTGATTTCTTCCAAAGGCAAATTGAGTTTTGAGGTGTAAGTGGCACAGGATGATCTTGCATCCTGGTCTAGCTGCACTCTAACCAGGGACCTGGGTTGATTTTCTGGAGTGAAACATATAAAGCTGGGGTTGGGCATGCAGGAAGGTAAACTAGGGTGAGAGCTCATTTAATACCAGTCACCCAGGGACCTTTGTGTGAGCCTCAGGTCTCATCCCTGGGGAAGGATCAACTGTCAGGTGCAAAGCTGGGCTCACGGCAGTCCTTGGGGATACAATTACCTGCCAGCTCTCTAAGCTGCTGTGTGAACTTATCTTCTAGGCAGTCAGGGTAGTCTGAAATGGGATTCGTGGTTCAAGTAAACAGTCCTAGGATGAATGACTGAGAGGGAACCTTAGAACCCATTTTACAGATATGAATAATGGTATCAGAGAAGATAAAGGGCCTCTCTCTGTTCTTGCAATCAGTTCCTTACATACCACATCCAGGAAGGGCCAGGAACAAGGGTCATGTGACTTCTTCTGCCTAAATATGACAGATTGTCTATAACCTGTTTACCTCTATTTCCTTCTGATGCTCACTAAGAGAGCAAAGCAATATAAGGTATAAATCCACTTAGACAAGGGAGATGAGAAGGGAGAGCACAATAGACATGTCATGTCAGCAGAATCTTGGTAGATGGGAAGTAGGTGTCAGAGAGACCACTAACAGGGCAGAGTGGGGACAACGGGAGCTAATGAACTAGAGTGGGAGATAGGCTGCAATAGGAAATGCAATGATATCACTGGGAGATGATATATATGGCAAAGATGCAGAAGAGGCTCTCAGTCTCAATAAAATGTTAAAGGGCTCAGAGTTTAGCCCCTAAAATGCCCTCACATCTTTAAAGAGTGGCTCTTGATCTTGGCTGGCCTTAAGAACTGGGGGCTGCTGCAGATGAGAGAGCTGGGAGAGTCTCACTCAGAAGGACTGACACAGCAACCAGTCCCTACTAATATTTTTTTTCTGCTGCTAAGCTCCCTGTCACAGTATTAGGTGATTCTTCCCGACCTTGGGAACCATGCACATGTGTCAACCAGCAGTGGGGAGTTGCGTGTATACTGGAAGATACCTTGACTGTACCATCCACCGATTCATAGACCAGGAGGTAACCAGTGACCGACGCTCGGGGAGGTCGCCAGGTGAGGAGGGCAGTCTCCGACTGAACCTCAGTGGCAGTCAGATCTCTTGGAGAATCAATGTCTGGAAAAAAAAGGACAAGTCAGTCAGTGTCGGACACACAGCATCAGAGGGCTGGGCTCAGGTCCTTCCCCTGCCACTGACTGGTGACCCATGTGATCGCCAAAGAGAATTCTCTACTGTTCATCTCATCCTAAGGGCCGGGTTTCCATGGGGCCAGCATGGTCTCTGTTGGCCTGGGATGGATTTGGGGAGAAGATACAGCTGTGGAGACCATTACAGACCTCTTGTTTGTAAATAAGAGGCCAAAAGAATGCTGATACCAGTCTCCACCCTGACAGAGGGAACACTTTCTCCCTTTCCCCAACTGCTGAAGTTTGCAAAAAGATCTCAATGAATGAAAACCCAGCGCACATCTAAGAAAACTTGCCTAAAAAATCTTTCTCTTTCAAAATACTTCCCTGCCGGCAACATGGCTCATTAAATGCTGGATTTAGGGCCAGTGGGGACTGTTTTTCCACTTTAAAAGCCCTCCTCTTAAAATCTTTTCCTCATTTGTGGGGAGAACCAGGTCACTTCAGTTCAAAAGGAAATGGAGTGTTTCTTTGGGTCTTGACTGAATGGGCACGGGGAAGATTTAACGGGGGCTGACGTCACCACATTGCAAGGGCCTGACTTAAGGAGGAAGAGTTGGCCAGGGGCTGCCGCTCAAGATGCGGGCTGTGGTTGGGCAGCTCAAATGGGGAGTTTCCAGCTCTGGGTGTCTTGGTACCTGTGGTGAACTTGGCAGTGAGGGCGGAGCTCTTCTGGGGCCCTTTCTCCGCAAAGATTCTCAGTGTGTATTCTGTGGCAGGTTCAAGGTCGGTCAGCGCATACTCCACCGTGTTCCCGGACACCGTGCGTGTAATTTCTGGCACTGAACATGAAATACATAAACCAAGGCAGTTACCTCTTGCTATCTGCGCCATCCTTGAACTTGGCAAACAGCTCACCCACCTCCTTCTGACACAGAAAGCTGCTGTGACCCTGCAGAAAAGCTGGTTTGATTTCTGAAATGACCCCTCCTTTCTTCTCTCTTTCTAAGAAAGATTTATCACATTGGAAGAAGGGGAACTGGGGAACATCTCTGTGACCGAGACACAGGAACAAGCTACAGGACAGTTACCAGCAATGTCCCCAAGCTGACGGACGATCCAATGTTAGCTTGTCCATTGCCTGTTCTTTCTCTTTTTCATTTACTCACATATCCTATTATAAGTCACCAAATATTTTATCATCAAGGATCACAAAATCCTTAAGGTTGAAGGATCACACTAATCACAGACATCAGAGCCTGGTTACCTACCACCTCTCAGGCCCACTGGCTTATTCTGACCAATGGTGGGAACCAAACCACATTCCCTGCCTAATCACAGGTGACCAGCTATCCTGGTTTGCCAAGGACTCAGGGATTTCCCAGGTGTAGAAATTTCAGGCTGAAACTGAGAAAGTCCCTGGCAAAGTGGGACAAGATGGTGACCTTAACTCATGCCAAGGACCTCTGCTATTCCCTCTGTTACTCTGTTACTCCCGGATCCATATTTTCCATGATTCCTGTGAACTGTCCTCTTATTAATTTTAAGTGAGACAACACATCTTCCCTGTCTTGGAGGAGTTTGCTCACAAGGAATAAGAATTAAAGCATAACAAGAATAGACCCTAATTTCCACCTCTTGTCCTTCCTATGCTCTGTCCTCACAAAGAAGTCTCTTAGGTCGGTGCCAGGGCCCAGTGAAAACTCACAATGGCCCCAGGCACTGGTTATGGTGCCGCCTCTGACTGTCGCTCAAAGCAGAACAAGAACAAACCATACAATAGGAAAGTTACAATGACTTGGAAATTGAAATAGCAGAATTCTTTCTACAATAGATCATTACAAGATTGTGGATGGGCTCATTGGAACTCTCTTCCTCCTCTTTCTCAATTATATTTGACTTTTTGGTGGCCACGGTTCACTGGTGCCTTAAGCATGTGTTTAATCTGCCAATTGGGTAAATTAATGTAGGTGGTTGCAAAAACAAGGAAAAATAATTTCAGATTTTTAAATAAAACTTGCTTCCACTGGCCCTTCCTGTGGCCTCTGAGAAGCCCACCCTGGGTGCCACCTGATATGGTCTGCTTAATGTTTTAAATTTTGGGCTCTTGCTTTGCAGAGGATGAGGGGGTGTCTGTCTCACACTGAGAGGCAGAGACTCCAGCCGCAGAGGAGGAAGGGGCGAGGCAAACAGGCAGAGGCTGGGATTGGATCTGCCGGACCCTCTTGAGATTGCAGCTAAGGACCATGGGGACATTGCTGGCCTTCCCAGTCTACCCATGCGTTTTTGTCATTCTTCACCCAATTGTGGCATGGAGTGGCAGAATGGGAAGTTTGGAGCAAGACAGACACTCTCGGTGTGAGGATGGGCCTGGACAAGCACTTACCTCTTTCCCCTGTGTAAGAGATGACATAACTGTCCACAGTAGCAATGGCCGGCTGCCACATGGCCAAGGCTTCTGAGTCGGTGATGTTGGCTGTCACCAGGCCAGATGGACCATCCAGAGCTGCAAAAGAAAGATGGAGGAGGAGGTGCCGGTCACGCTGGGGAAGATATCAGAACCCAGCTGCTCTGCCGTCCGCTCTGCTTAAGGACTCCTGGCATTAGTCACAGTGACAGATGCAGGACCAGTTCAGAGTCCTGAGCCGGCACCAGGCTGCCCTGAGACTCCTCCCCTGTTGGCTCTGTTACCCTGGGCCTCAGTTTCCTGACCTGTGAACTGGGGATAATAATTCTGGCTGGCCTTTCCTCAGTGTTACTTTGATTTTCACATATAATGGGTGGAAAGGTAAATTGAAAAGTGCTGAATGGGCGACAGGGATCGTGATCCGAGTTCACACCCCTTTTCCCAGGAAAGGAACCTATAGACTGCATGGTGGACACTGTCTGGGGCCTGCCGGGGCTTTGAGTGGCATCTCTGGTGACAGGGCTTCTAGGTAATACTGAACCAGGCCTTGGAGGTTGCTGGTCTCAGGTTCTATTGTGGCTTCTTTGCCTGGTGCCTCTGTGCCCTTGGAAGGTCATTTCCCTGGACCAGACGTCACTTTCTTCAGCTGTCAAAGGGGGGCTGCTCTAGGGTCAACCAGACGATGGGCTAAAGAAGCCTCGGCGATGGTGATTATTATGAATCTGTTAAATTAGGTATGGCTTTCAAATAACTTGTCCTGAGAAAGGACGTTCAAAGGGCCTCTTCTAACTGACCACTCTCCCTACCCCACGTCCCTTCCTGTTTCCCTCTCTCTCTTGCTCTTCATTCTCAATTGCCCTGCCCCCAGGGGGGACAAGGGCAGCTCCCATGTGCCCATTTTACAGAGGAGGCACCTGAGCCTCAAGGGATGACATGACTGGAGGTGGCAGAGTTATCTGGGAGCCCGCCTTGTCCACTCCTGGTTCCTTCCTGTGTCACGGTGGTGCACACAGTCTCCTCTGACCCGTGATGACCACAGGGGCCTCCGGAGGAAACACACCCAGCTTTTGTGCGATCTGTTGCTGGGAACGATCCGTGAAAGCAGGATTTCTTTGGGAAAATAAAGGCCCGTGCAGCAGGGCGGACAGGACTTTGGTTTCAGAAGGGACGTTTTAATTGCATATCATCAACTCTTTTAGGCAATTAGGATATTTTTAAAATTTCCTACAAGGCCCATTCTTTGGATCCCTTAGTGGATTGGGCGGGATAATTGCTCATATCTCAAAGGATAAATTGTTTAGACACATGGCTGTCGGAAGAGAGATTTTCCACTTCATTCTCCTTCAATGCCATTCATTACTTCTCCCCTTTACAGCTGCAACTCAGGTTTTCATAGGAAAATCAGCCTTTATTTTATAATACAGGGTTTGCCGTCTGGATGACCTAGGTTCAAGTTTGGTTTCAACGTTTACTGGTTTTGTGGCTTGGTACCTTCCCCACATCTCCTCTGGGAAGTGGGGATGAAAATGGCTGAGCGCATTAAATATAAAGGGGTTAGCAGCAGCAGTTTCCAGAATTCTGGAGCTGCCAAAAGAGAGGGTGGCTACCTGATGACTGTCACCAGTTTGTTTCTGTGTGAGGCACTTGCTCAGAGGGCTGTCCCCATGGCAACAGGCAGGGGAAGGAGGGAGGCGGCGAGTGACCTGGCAATCGCTCACACCTGCAGGTCCTTACAGACCTAAGACAGACTTCACTGTGCTCTTTGCTGAAGTCCGTGTCCTGAAGTCTCCATCCTCATCTGAGGAAGGAGGAAGCAGCAGTAGAGAGAGGGCACGGGACCTCGGAGAAACTAACTCACGTAGCCAGTAAATGACAGAAGTGGGATTTCAAGCCAGCTCTCTATGACCCCCAGAGTTGGGCATCTTCTTCGACAACAGTTGAGGAAACAGGGGCCTGGGAAGGTCAAGGATGCGTCTAAGGTTACCCACCTCAGGAGAGGCCAGAGGTGGGCCCCAGATGAGACTTTTGGAACTCCAAACCCAGTCCACGTCCCACTGGGGTTTCATAAATAAACCTCCCACAGCTGCTGAGTCCTGAGCCAAAAATGCTAAAGGCAAGAGAGGAAGGAGCACAGCCAAGAGAGCCCTGGAGAAAGAAGGACCACGCCCAGCATACCTGTGGTGAGCGACCCTGAGACAGGTTCGCTCTCCTCAAAGCCCTTCATGGAGACGATGCTGACCAGGTACTCCACCCCGGGAATGAGCTTCACCAGCCTGGTCTGGGTCTGGGTTCCATCCACAGTGACCATGGAGGGTGTACCTGGACCACGGGAGGACAAGACAGGAACAGTGAGCCTCAGGGACCGACACTCACGGTTGCCTAGAGAACAGCTGTCCCACTGGGAAGTGAAATTCTGTCTTTATCGAATACCATTTTCTCCTTCATTTTCTCCCACTCTCTGGAACAAGGGAGTGGGGGAAAGGCCTCACTTTTCGTATCCTGCTTTTTCCGTGGGTGCACTATGCCAAAAAACAAGCCAGGAGAGGGGAAAAACATGAAGTCACAATGTACTAAAAATGGCAAATTTCTGCTCCATAGAGAGCTGGCATGTGGCATAAATTTTATTTCATTTTTTTCCCACGAGGCATATAAAAAGCCCACTCTGTAGTGTCCATCTGAACTCCATAACCCATTCTCTTGGGTTAAGTAGCATTATGGAGACTCCCTTGTTAGTAGACATGCTATTGATGATGTAAAGATGGTCACAGTCAAGCCTGTGCTCTTGTATTTATTACCAAGTTCAGAATTTATCTATTTTAGAATTTCAGGGCTGGTCAAACTCCCCATGGAGATGCTATGACTCTCCTGTGACTGACTATCCCCTCTTTATACACCTTTACAGTACCAGAGAGCTCACTACAGACTTCACTGAGGTCTTTATTAAAATCCACGTTCTGAACTGGAACTTGCAACTCTGCCAAGCCACAACTCCCCATCCTATACTGAGACAGACAGGTTTTGGCACCCAAGGACAAAATCTCAACACATATCCAAGCCAGCCTGTCAGAGAAGAGTTGCTCACAGAGAAAAAGTCCTTGTGTTCAAACAATACTGAGAATGAATTTCTTAGGATACTTTAGAATTTCAAAGCTGGAGAGGATCTTCATAAAATGATCCCCCTCCCAGGATTTTGTAGGACTTCACAAAAGATGGTCTCAAAAATAAAGGAAGGACTCTTTTTTTTTTTAATAATGTTTGGGGGATGGGAATTTTTAGGGTCTCTCACTCTCCCACCCCAGCCTCCAGGCTCCTGCGGCCCTTCCCCTCTCTGAGTCCCCTACCTCCTGTCATGGGCACGTAGGTAATCCGGAAGCTCTCCACCTGGGCAGTGGGTGCCGTCCAGCTGACAGTGGCCGAGTTCTCAGTGATGTCTGAGAAGATGAGCTCCTTTGGAGAGCCCATGGCTGTCAAGAAGGAAACACAGGAGAAACCCAGAAACAGTTAGTGAACTTGCCCACGATGTTTGATCCTGGATTCTGGATCTAGGAAGACTTGGTGTCTAGAGTCTAGGTTTCCATTGGAGCCACGCCATTAGGATGGAGGGCAGGTGACCTGTGATCCAGCTGTGACTGATAGAAAGAGTGGTCCTTTCGTTCCAGGTACAGGGCCCAGGCCTGTGGTGCAGTTTTCATTCACAGGGAGAGTTACCATCTCTAGTGTCTTCCAAGGAAGTGGGGAGTGACTTAAAAGATTGTAATATGTTCCCCCTTTGGTTTGATTTTTAGCTTTTTGTTGTTGTTGTTTTTCAAATCTTTGCTTTCTACTTCCTTTTACTAAATAATGCCAAGGCTTGACCCGTGCACACTTTGTTGCAACCGATACCAGGCTTCTCCCTCATCTAGAAACCCTGAGAAGATGCTGCGGTGGTAGCGATTACACAGAGGACCAAAGTGAAGCTCCATTTTTCAACCAATATCCTCTGAGGGACATTTCTGGATCACAGGACTTTGTGGCCAAGCCAAGTACAGTCCGAGATCTTAGGAATAACAGTCACATGGAAACTGACCTTGACAAACCCACTTCTAGAACAGGAGGGAGGTCCAGAGCCAGGGGAACAACCTCGGGCCATCACCAAAACAGACACCCGCTGGGCACTGGGTGTACGTGTGGGGAAAGCCAGGCCCAGAGGAGGCTCCGGTTCCTCAAACATCTCCCCAACAAACCCAGTTTCCTTTGGCTTTTTTTGTGATTTGTGGCTCAGGGTTATGCCCACTTGAACTTCCCATGCCTGGCCAGAGATTTCAGGAAACAATTCCCAAGCTCCCTCATTCCCTTCTTCAAGCCCTGCTGATCATTAAGTTCTGCGACCCCCCAGACATCAGGGACAGTTATTTTCCTGCCCATTCTTGTCTTCTTCTGTCATCTAAGACATGTCTCTCCTCCTCCTGTTTTCTTCTGGGAACAAACTCCATGGTTGCCTGGGCGTTTGCTCTCTCCGTATCAAGTTTTGGAAACCACAGGGCCCCAGGAGCCTGCAAGATCTTGCTTATCCAAATAACTCTGGGAGGCTGGGCGACCCGGGGCATGTCCCTCGCCTTCTGGGATCTTCAGTGGCCTCACACGTCCAGTGGGGAAAGTGCTACTCACCCACAGGAATGCTGTGAGGATTAGCAGAGATAATGGACGGCATCCGGCGGGCAGTAACGATTCCCTGCTTGCGACTGCCCTCTATGTTCTTTCCCATGTGACTCTTTCTGCTGCAAGCCATAATGGATTCTAACGTATCCCCCAGGAAAGACCTAGATGGGTCCCACCGAGAGAGAACCCTGGCGAGGCATACAAAATGGGATCCAGACAACCCCCTTCGGCCAGTCAAGTTCACTCTGACCTCTGCTCTGGATGAAAACCTTTCTGGGGTAAACGATGGCATATTTTAGAACTTGGGTCTAGATAGCCAAAGCTTTCTTCTCTGGACTCTAGCTTTATCATTGGTAAGATGGCACTGGAGTCTTACACGCCATAAGAATTAGTGGCTTCATCTCTCACACACTGCGGGGTGTGATCACTAAGGGCTGTGGCAGGGAGATACTATGCATAACCTGAAAGAAGGACCCAATCATGGTGGGATTCCAGGGTCAATGACATACTAGTTTTGGACCACAGAACGTCCCAGGAGTTGAAGACTATTTGTTATTCTAGCGTGTCTCCTTCTGCATGAGTAGGACCCCAAAGCCTCCAGCCCCTCCGCATGTATCTGGACACAGAGCAGCTAATCACATCTATTGAAAAGTCGGGGAGACTCAGGTGATGCTTCTTGTCTCTATTTCCAAGGGAAATCAGTTATTTTTAAACTTCCATTAGGGAAATATGTGGAATTGCTAAAAACTTCCCAGGAGGTTGAAAGGATTCCTACCTGCCAAATAAAAAGTTGCCTCCCAAATCTATGGCAAGTGTCTTCCGTTACATGGCAAATAACAATCACTTAAAAATTTATTCCCCTTTCAACATTTTTTTGGGCGGTACAGGGCATTGAACTTAAAGGTAATTTACTATTGAACTACATTCTCAGCCCCTTTTATTTTTTATTTTGATAGAAATTCTTGCTGAATTGCTTAGAATCTCATTAAGTTGCTGAGGCTGGCCTTGAACTTGCAATCCTCTTGTCTCAGCCTCCTGAGTCAATGGGATTACAGGCATTCACCTCTGTGCCTGACTCTTCAACATAGTTTTCTTGAACACATAATATACATTAGGCCCTGTGCTACATTAGAGAAACAGCTGCTTGAGGAGGTATGGTTTAAGAGCTAGGATTTTGGAGTTGTGAGTCAGAGGCAGGGAGGCTAGGGATAAAGAGCCTTCGTCATGTGGAAGGGCAGATGGCCAAGCAGGTGTTTCAGACCTACTGACCCAGCCCCAAGGACAATGTCACGGCTCCTTGGTGATGTGTGGCTTTAAGTTCAGCTGAGCTGGAAGGAGCTGGGGAGCTGTGAGGCTGCTGGTTGGAAAAGTAGAGCAGGGTGGGTGTGGGGGCACGTTCTGGGGGCTGAGAGAATGCGTATTGATACCCTATTGACACAGGGACTGGAGGAGGGTGTGTCTGTGGACATGAGTGGGGTTGAGGTAGATAAACATTTTTGGGTCCTCACTCGGGCACCGTTGGTAGACCTGAGGAACCTCCAGAACAACCCAGTGAAGTCCTCTTAATCAGTTTCTGGGATTTCTTCCTGCTCTCTGCCCATTCTTGGGGCCCTGAAGATGGTGCATGGAGTCATGTTGGCACTAAACTTCCTGGAGGAGAAAGAAGTTTCTCTCTAAAGGGGGGCCAAGATTGTTGTAAGGAAGTGGCTCCGACCACAGAGAGGAAGAGAAGCCATTGTAAGTGCAGGGACAGAGAAAAAGAAGGGGTGACAAAAGTAATAACGTAAGTGTCCATCAGTAGGGGATGGATGAATAAATAACATGGACGGGCTTACCCCTGAGATCTATTAATAAGTGAGAAACACCTGGGGCAAAGCATGGAGAGGTGGAAATGTGTTAAACATTGTGCTCCTTAAAAAGGGTAAAAATATTAAATTTATGTCAATTTTTTTTTCCATTTATATATTTCCAGAAGGCCAAGAAATTGGCAACAAAGCTTGCCTTTGGACAGAGCCTCCTCTGCCTTCTCCCATCCCCAGAGTATGGGCATGCGGGCATACGTGGACATATACGTGGCTTTTTTTTTTTTCCTCTGTCTTTCTTTCTCCTCTTTGGCTGTGAATGCCAAAGTCCCAGAGAGGGAAATCTAAAAGAAGTCCTTCCAGAACAGCAGAGCAGACTCTGCTTCTCTTTGTTCTTTAAAAAAAAAAAAAAAAAAAAAAAAAAAAGCAGCTCATGATTATTCATTCTCTCTCCCTCTCTCATCGCAGAGCTTCTAGAAAAAAAAAAATCAGCAAAACAAAATCAGAGATCAGAAGTAAACTTTGAAGAGCTGTGTTTATAAACCAAGGTCAGAAATCAGGCTCTGTCTCTGATCTGGAGCCATTTTAAAGGCAGTCACGGGGAGGGGCGACTCCGACCTGCAGGGGTTGGGGTCTCGCATGCACAAGGAGCAGGGTTTTCCTGCCACTAGCTGGCTGCCTGGAGCCCAGCATGCCTATGAGCACTGATCCTGATTTCCCTTTTGAGGTAGTTTATTAGATCTTGAAACTTGACATAACAAAATACCCAGCTTTACCCAGGAGAAGACCCTTTGCGCTCCTGCCAGGCTCTGTGCCTCTCAGAGAAGACAGTATGTATATTCATTGGTTATCTGTGCTCCAATCTCTGTTACTTAGCTAACAGTACTAAAAGAAGCTGGCGGTTGGGGTTCTACTCCAAATCTAGCTGTGTGACCTTAGGCAGATGGCTTCACCTTTCTGAGCCTCATATTCTTCATGCACCCAAAGAAGGGGCTGAGCTGTGCCAGTTCTCAGGGCTCATTTACTTTCTCTGTGAGTCTTTCCTCTGGCTACTCATTGAAGCAGCTGTCCCTGGGGATACTGTTTCTGCATCTCCCTGTTTCCTGAAAGAATTCGACCCACCTTCTGTAGGTCTTTCCTTTTCCTTCTAAAGAGTCATTTAGTCTTAGTATTATTATCAAGAGTCAAGTTATTAAAGCTTTCCCCCCCCCCACTCCTTGACAAGGCTTACGCGGGAAAGGGTTTCATTTCCCCCTCTCGATGGCTTTTAGAGATGCTAAAAGAATTGAATAGCACTTCATGAAATGAATCCAGCTCCTGCCCCCCTCCTTGCTGAGCCTGGTACTAATTACTCACAGGCAACATTTTATAAATATGAAGCCTCACAGGAAGAGGTGCCACTTCTTCATTGTTCCCCACCTGGTGCAAATTGAACACCTAGGGCAAATCAAATGTTGGACCAGAGAACAAGGAATTGTATGCCTGGATACGATACAACGAGGTAACAGGCAGAAGGCAGAGTCTTTGCAACCTGAAAGATGTGATAATTGCAACTACTACGGATACTGCATTGGAGACAATATGACAGCTGTCTTTCCCCAGCCCTGGGTGTGCCACGCTTTGAGACAATATGACAGCTGTCTTTCCCCAGCCCTGGGTGTGCCACGCTCTCTGCTATGAGCTTTATATGAATTATCTCACGGAGTCCTCACAACCCTATTAGGTAAATGGCATTGTGCTGTAAAGAGTTAGCTATGGTAACAGTTCACACTTGAAGGAGCTTGTGTGTGTCCAAAGCTCCTGTAATTACTCAGCCCTGGAGAAGGAGAGCCCCCCGCGGTGACTCCTCTGTCCTCTCCTGCGTGTTTACAGTACCTGTTGTTGCTATGGCACTGACTGGCTGGGAACGCCTTCCATTGCTTATTCCATAGAGTTCAATTTCGTATTCAGTGGCCTCTCTGAGATTTGTTATGTCCCTGGTACGTTCATGGGCAAGGAGGATTATTTCCTGCGGCTCAGATTGCTTTTTGGTATCTCTGATTCTGAGAACAAAACTGTCGAAAATCCCTTCGTCAGCTGTCCAGGACAGACGGAAACCATCCCGGGTGGCATCTGAAACCAGAAGGTTGTCAACTTCTGGTTCAGCTTCTAGAGGGGGAGAAAAAAGGTGGAAGAAGGAGGAAAGAGAACATCATTTAGCAGCCATCTCTTCTCCTGCAGGGGTATCAATAGGCAGTGCGCCCCGACTTTCAGACATAGAAGTGTCCTGAGATACAGAAAATAAAATCATCCGACATGAACGAGTCTAGTAGGGCTGGGAGAGGGGAGGGCTGGAGCGCACACGGTCAGAACAAGCTAGGCAGATGCTCGCATGTGTGAGTTCTGTCTGAAAGCACGTCTATAAACCCACATCTGGACTCGGCTCCGGCCCCTCCCGGCCCCTCCCGTGCATTACTAAATAAGTTCAGAGCCAGCACTTGTTTATGTTCGCTCTCCGTCTTCCAGTGGCTGAGTGCCCATCTGCTATGAGACCTTTCTCTTTTCTTTTTGAAAAGACAAATAAACCAGCATTAACCATCTGTAGAGCTGCCCAGGATGACTCTGATACACTTCCCTTGAGCCCAAACAAAATGGCTTTTTAAATGCTTGGGTCTTTTTATGCTCTATTCTTGGAGCCGACTGATTTACTAAAGAAGGCTCCTACTCTTGATTTTCTTGTTTGTTTGACTTCTGTTCTTTCTTGCTATTGGAACCATCAGATAAGCGTTCAGATTGTAGAACTGAGGCTTGGAACCTCTTGAGATATATTGTTTGGACCCAGGGGTTCATCTTGGATCACCTTCACTAGAAAAAACTCAGGATCAAGGTAAATTTGGAGCTGAGTTTCCCAAAGTGTGCTAAAATCCAATTACACCTATTTGATCCTCTTCCTTAAAAGATATTCATTTGTCAAAGAAGTTTGGGAAATACAGCCTGCTGGGAAATATACCATAGGCTATTCCACAAAGCCTTGTGGGCAAGGCTCCTGTTTGACTTGAACTCAGTGCTTCCAAACTTATTTGAACATGCAATTCCTTCACCAAGTAGGGCCTTCGAATGGTCTATGGAGCTACTACTAATCTCTAGAAATAGACTGTGAGAAACATCTAGGTTTTTGACTGTTAAAATTGTTAATGCTATACTTCTCTAGGAATTTTAAATTTTGAAGAAATCATGGATTTAGTTCTGTGTTAAAAACCTTTCTGATGTTAGCATTTACCCATGTGATAAGTTCCGATTTAGTTTTCCAATGACGAGACCTATTAGGTGAGTTGTTAGATCACAGTTAAGACTTCGAGATGGTCAAGGTTTTGAATATGTTTTTAAAATATACTCACTGGTATATTTTTTTTTTCTTTGAGAAGGCGGAAATGTAACTGGGGACCAGCCGGGATGATCATAGGGAGCTTGATACAGAGTAAGCACACACAAGACCGGGCTAAGGGACTGGGGAACACCAAGAGGGAAGATTTCCACCTTCTCGTTCTGGGATGGGAATGAGGAGTGCTCATTAGATGCGTGAGACAAGGGGAGGTGTGGGAGGACACGAAAGAACAGGCCACATCTGTGGATTAAGACGGGAATATGGACAAGGAGGTTAAAACCACGGTGACGCTGTAGACAGATGACACAGGGGGGCCATGGAGAGGAGAGAATGGCTCACTTGAGTTGAAATACCTGTAGTGGTCTCAGCCCTCAGGGGCTTGGTTTGATGCCCTTGGGTGAAGCCAGAGACCATAACCTCATAGCCAATGCCGGTTATGAGGCCTCTAAGCTCCAGCTTCCTCTGGGTTCCTGAAAGTGTGAATTCCTGGGGGTCCAGAAGCTTCCCAGAATCCACCACCGTGACTAGAAAGCTGTCAAAGGCATGCTCCGATGCCATCCAGGAAACTGTGAACCCGTAGGGATTAATGTCGGAAATGGTTAGGTTTTCCAGAAGGGGCAAGGCCTCTGAAAGAAGGGAGGGGTGAAAACAACTCAGGTTAGCAGCGGGGACTCTGCGGGGAGAGCACAGGTTTCCACGCACACCAGAGACACCCGCTCCGTCACTCGCTGTGTTACACGCTCAGAAAACAAATGTCCAGGAAGAGCTTCCCGGGGCCAGAGAGTGTTACCTAGTGGGATGCTCTTAGCAAGTCTATTAGGTGGGTATCACTCCCAGCTCGCAGGTGGGAAAACTGAGTTTCAAAACAGATGAATGACTTGCTCAAAGTCACAAGCTATTATGTGATGGAGCAGGTTTCCAGCCTAGTCTGATTCCAAAGGCCACGCGTTTCTGTCTATTCAAACAGGATGTCTGTGTTGGGTTAGGACCCCTTTATCTCCTGCTGTTTCTGATTTTGAAGCCAATTAACTTTTTTCTGCTTTCTTTTTTAAAGTACGCTCCTCTTTTACTTCGTAGGTTTCTATTTTACTTCGAATTCACATTTTACTTCTAATTCACACTTTGAATCAGATCAATTAGGCCAATCAGCGGCACATCCTCATCAGATATTTTTTTTTTTAATGTGTCAAAATTAACAAATTGAGGTTTGGGTCCAATAAGAAATCCTAAGATTTGCTAATTCTCTTGCTGCTCATTTTCTTGGGTAGAGTTAGAAAACAAGGACATATCTGGACCTTCAACAAGTTTTTCCATCCTTTGTTCATTCCTTCACCAAACATCTGTGCCGCAGGTGCTCCTAGTTCTCAGCTGCCTGGGGGTCTTTTCATGCACAAGGGTGACACAAAGGGTGAGCTTGTATCAGCTAAATGTCTATGGATACTTCTCAGCTGAGGGGGTTTCACATTCATCATCCTATCTGTCCCAGTGATATTGTAAGGTAGACACATTGCCACCTTACCCCTCAATCTCCAGGACAACTAAGGAAAGGGAAAGGCTATCGCTTTCTCCAGATCACACATCCGCAAGGTGGTAAGCGGGGTTCCAGCACGGTCTGCTGACCCCCAGTTCTATATTCTTTCCACCTGCTCGGGCTGCTGTCTAATGAGTACTCCTGCCCCCAACCTCCGCCCTAGTGCTGGCAAGTCCTGAAGCACAGGAGGACCACTGGGAAGGCCAGCGCCTCCTCTGCACTAAGCAGCACTGTGTAATGCTGAGCATATTGATCTCTGAGCAGAGGGGGAAAGGGTTGGGAATCCCACAACCAAGGCTGCTTTAGTGCACCTAGTTTAGATCTTTCTTGTCCACTGTGGCTAAATGGAAACTTTCAAAGAGATAAATGACCTTGCGCTAATGCTGACAGTCTAATCGATGTAATGTTAAAAAAAAAAAAAAGTGCTTAAAAAGAAATGTTTGGTGACTGAATGAAAAAGTGAAGAAATGCCCTCATTCCCTAAGCAGAGAGTTAAATTTTGCTGTGGCTTGGGCTTCCTGTACCTATTTTGCAACACTTGCTGTTTATTTTGAGGAATCCCCCCCCCATGTATAGATTTCCCAAGAATCAACTCTATCAAAGGCAAAGGTGAAATCACATACAGAGTCCAAATGGCTTCTGCAAGGCAAGGGTCTCAAATTCCACCTCTGGGTTTTATTTAGGGCTCTATTTGATAGCCAGCCTCTTTGCACCTCCTAGCCATCCAAGCAGTGAATTCCAAGGAAAATGAAGGCTTTCAGGCTAATTAGTCAATCGCGGGCTTGTTTTTTCAAGTCCCTCCTGTTCGTGGTTTGTTCTTTTTAAATATACTTCTTTTAAAATGCTGAGTCTTTTCACATCAGATTAGCAGAGACAATGCTGTCACTGGATCTATTATTGGGACCAGGTCTCCCAGCCTCCCTCTCTCCTCTCTGTTCAGTGGGAGGTCCTGCAAGGGGCTACAAGTAAGGGCCTGATGGCATCTGTAGCCATTCCCCTCCTCCAGGGCAGTGAGAAGCTCACCTCACACCTGCTCTTCCAAGCTCCTTAATGAATTACTAAGTTCTGCCTGTGCAGCCTGAACTAAGTAATTTAATTCACATTCAATAACTGGAGAGGATAGTAAATGCAGCCACGTTTTAATCTTACATTCAAATGTAAGATAACGAGGGTTCTCTTGCAAATGATAAGCAAATCATGACTGCATAGCACTAGTGTTTAATGGAGGCATGTTGGGCATTTTTTTTTTTTTGTATTTGCTTACTTATTTGCAATGCTGGGAATGGAATCTAAGGCCTTGTGCATGCCAGGCAAGGGCTCCACCTGGCCTTGCGGGTTACTTTTGAGAACATGACTTTCCTCATACTTTTGGGAGGCACAAGAAAAGACCTGACATCTGTATCACACCCACTGAACTACATCCAGGTAGTTATACTGCATCTGCTTCATCCCTGAGACAGGATACCAGAGGCACCTGTGGGTGTCCTCCTGCCTTACTTAGGGAATTGGGGTTCAAACAAATAAGGAACCTGCCGAGGGTATGTAGCTAAGTAGATGGGGGAGAGGTTTAGAAACCAAACAGGCTTGATCTCAAATCCTCACTCTGCCAGGCCACCCTAACACCTCCAGGAAACTATTCAATTGTCCTTATTAACATATCTTAATTAAAGCAATTTAGACCTGGGAAAGACTTGTTTAGTGTGAAAGTCAGATGGCAAAGTCTGTCTCCTAGAAGTTGTCATTAGTGGAAGACAAGAGACTTTTAAACATTTTCAAGCTAGGGATTTGGTAAAAGCACACCATTTTTAGCCTTTACCATGGATCTGGGATAATATCAACGTAGAAAATAGATAATCGTTTCTTGATGTAAATCAAAGTGAAGTTAGAAGTCAAATTTGACAGATGGGTAAGATTTTAACTAACCTTATAATTTATCTGCCATCTCAGGGTGAATCTTCATCAATCTGCTGTATTTGTCAATTTTAAGAATAGGTTTCTCTCTTTTTTTTTCTTAAGATAGATTACTATATTTCTAGGACAGATAGTTTATGAACTGCCTTAAATGGCATGATTTATGGACAAAATCCCTGTCATAGGCCTTTACTAACTAAGAATTTATTCGTTAGTCAGTGTCTCCCAACTGTGAATGTTACAGTGTATAAAACTCCCTGAAAGCTTTATATAGCCATTGAGAACATGCTTCTATTTCCTCACAGTAGCTGTGAAGCATCTGTCCCTTCTGGAAGCCTCAGCAATCTCTTCACTTAGAAGTTGACATGGGGTGTCCCAGCCATTATGAGTAATGTCATTTTACAACCTATGTGTTCATCCATGAACGAGTGGATATAGAAAATGTTCTAACTATATCTAATGAAATACCATGCAGACTTAAAAAAGAAATTTTCATTTGCAACTAGATGGATAAACCTGAAAGATATTATGCTAAGTGAAATAAGCCAGGTGCAGAAAAAAAAGTACTACATGATCTCACATACAAGTTTAACATAATAACTAGAGTATAATGTTAGTTACCAGAGGCTAGAGTTGGCAGGAGCAGGGAAAAAGGAGATGCTTGCCAAAGGGTACAAAGTCCAGTTTGACAGGAGGAATAAGTTTTAGTAAGCTATGGCACAGCTTGGTGACCACACTTAGTAGTAGTGATACACTGTATATTTCAAAGTCGTTAAAAAACAATGGATTTTAAATGTTCTCACCATGAAAAGTAGGTGAGATGATTGATATGTTCATTTTTTTTAATTCAACTAAATCAGTCCACAGCATATACCTATATCTAAACACCATTTTGCATCTCATAAATACAAACAACTATTGTTTTCCATTATAATTAAATATATGGAAGTTTACATTTAGAGCGTAGACTGCATTTGGATGGATTTTTCCTTTAGAATATCTTTCTCTTTCCCCCTTTCCCTGTGTTAGAATTCCAGACAGACAAGTGAGAACCTCTGAATACCTGTAACGACAAAGGCAGTGAGGGGTCTGGTGGGGTCGCCAGCCCAGGTGGTCCCTGCTACACTGACGTCATAGCCAGTGTTCTCCACCAAGCCAGAGATGTGAGCTTGCTGTACATCTCCTGGGACTGTGACTTGCTGGGACTCATGCAGCGAATGAGCATTGCTCACATTGATAACAATTTTTGCAAAAAGCCCAGCTTGAGTGGTCCATGATACGTTGAAGCTGTCAGGAGTAATATTGCTAAGAATTAGCGTGCCCAACTGTGATTCTGGCTCTGAAGGCAAAGGAACATGGAGAGAGGGAGAAAGAGATATTATTAGAAGAAGCAGAATATTTCTCCAGAATGTCGCCGCAGAACACAAATGCATCAATATCTCCAAATATTTGCAGAAAAAAAAATAGTATGTTAGGCTAACATGCTAACCTTGATACTTACTAACATTGATTATAACAACAGAGTACACATTGCTTTTTTCTGCAAGTACGGATTTGTGTTCTTCTAAGTTATAGGCATGGCCATGTCCTTAGTCACATAAGAAGAAAAGCAGAGAAGCCATTAGAGAGATACATAAGATTAAAGTAAGAGTATTAAGCTCCATTTTCCAAAGTCTATAGTGGGACACTAGACCTATAAGATGTTCTAAGAAAAGACAGATTCATGGTCATGAATGCACTGTCAACACTGAATATTATATTCTATTGTAGAGACTGACAGAGTATGTTAGCATCTGAAAGGCTCTAAAAAGCTGAGTTTATAAATAAATGTATTTGATTCTGGTTAGCCCAAGCATTTTGTGAACTTATTGATCAATGATACCCCATCTCAGGAATATTCTTTGAACATCCCACAGAGCTAGAGTTCCACTGAGCAATGTTTTAGAAAATGCTCCTTTGGAGTTATCTCAGTCTTCTTTTGATCTATTAGGATTGCACAAATTAAAGGCTAATGTCAGAGAAATTCTGCAGTGGCATAGAAATCCAAATGTATGTGTTATAGAAAAGTCTGGATCTCACCTCCAATACT